AATCTACAGTCTGGGGCTATTTAAGGCTAGAGTCAATAGACATTTGCTAGACAAACGCGTAACATCGCCGCGTAATATCGGGTCAGACTAAGTATTCCTATACTTTTTTGCGGTAATCAAGATTTATTAGCTTCGACTCCAAGGGGCCTACTACAAGCTCTTAGAGCAATCCTATTTAAGCCTGTAAATTGGATTGTCTGACAAATTCGTACCATGACATCAAAAAAACAATTCACTGTCCATGCAGTTTACGTTCCCATTCGAAATCCGTTCACCTTTTCTTTCATAGCAAAATCGAATAAATAATAGCAAAAAAAATAATGGAAGTTATTGGCCATGCACATGGCGGTCACATCTGTCAATTGCAAGCAATTCAAATAAAGTTAGGTCGTAGCTAACTTTTTTACATTTGTTACACTTTTAAGAAATTTCGTTAAAGTTTTATTATATTTCCAGTTTCATAATTATTTGTTGTCTTTTTAGGCTATATAGCCAATTGTCAATAAATAAATACTATTGACTATTGAGCGTTTTTTGAATGTTTTAGTTCGAGTTTCCGATCTTTAAAGTATTGTTGACGAATTATTGGCATGAATGTTATTGCAATTTTTAAATGGAATTTTAATAATTTTATTGGCTTAGCGAATATCGTAAAATAACTTTTGAATAGTGCCAAAGTTTACTTATAATGCAATCAATGAAAATGTACGAATACAAGATACGTTCCAGTTATGTTATCAAATTACAAGCTCACCTTATTAATTTCAATGATAATGACTAGACATGACATGCAATTTTGTCGTACGACAAATTGTAAAGTTGCCAATATTACAAAACAACTTAATAAGTATAATCAATAATAAAATTAATATAAAATATAATTATTCTCATTTTGAACACAATCGGTTAATAGTGCTTGAACGCTCCCAGGATAGTACATCTGTCCATTTCTTTCATATGATTTAGTATGTAGTTCCATCTCGCTCTTGTTGGATGTCAGCTAGCCAGCAGCAACTCATCATCCTGCCATGCCTGTCCCGTTCAACTTTGTGTAGGTCATGATACGAATTTATGCAAGTCAGTTTTACCACGTCGTCGAGTGAATTGCATGGAACTTGGCTGGCTGCTTATAAGCTCACAGTAGGATCCCCGGAGAGAGTCGTCGCCAAATTGTTCTCGCTATGTTTAATTTCGCCGTTTTTAAGATAGTCAACAAGTTTCGGACAGAACCGTCCCTGAGGTGCCAGCAGAACTCCATACCAGGGATGCCGCATATATGGCTTATAACGACATCTGCAGATGCGGACGCGAATGTGAATTTTTGATGAGTCAAGTCTAAATGTACTGTTGTGTGAAAAAATGTTATTTTTCGAATAAACATGGACTAAGTTAGATGATCATTGAATTATCATTAAGATATATAATAATTTTACATCATTTGGATGAGAAAAGACATAAAAGATAAAGACATGGAAATATTACAAACGGTTATGAACGCTTGAAGTTTTTAGAAATGTGGTCGGACGTGTTGTATGCAAACAGAAGTATTTCTTACAAAAATTAGACTTTCTGGGCTACCTTGAGTGAAAAATCTCCAAATAACACTTTATCCGCTCACGCGATGCGCTCATCCTACCGCAAAATGGCGGCTATTTGGTTTCGTAAATTAGAAAACGATTCAGCTTAAATACAAGTTTTTATAAATAAAAATTATTATTCCGCATTGCTAAATAAATACAACAAAAACATCTCAAATAAAATGCAGTAATACACTGCAAATCCTGCACTTAAAAAGCACTAATGACATTTTTGGTGTACTTGGGTAAATATGATAATATTCCGTTTGAGTGGTTCTAACGTTTACCATGAAATTACTCCTTAAAGTATAGTTTATAAATATTTATATTCAGTGTGAACTTAAAAAACGCTACTTACGGTATGTTTTCAATAAATAAACACCGAAATCACCAGCCCAAGCAATAACCCACACGATTGTCGTGACGTATTTTTGAAGTTGTTTATTTTTTTTAAATGACAGGCCCAGGCATTAAAAACTTTATGGTTTGCTAGAGTAGTTAGCGAAATAGCAATTAGTATTAGTTCTTTTACCTGTTATAGCTTCGATATCCGATAAATCGGTATAAAATCATCACCGACACCTCTAGGTGTGGTATACGTCTACGGCTGCATGTATCGTGTGAGCGGATAGAAAGGTTGTCCCATACTTACGAAAATAAATTTACATTCAAACGAAGTAATCCCAACTACCATACGTGTAACGTAAGTAAACATTGAAAAAATAATGTTTACAAATAGGTTATTGTTACACCTGTCAAATTCTAAACTGAGTAATTAGCATTACAACTACACTATATCAGCCCGTTCCCGACGATCTGGTCATGATCTGCAAAACATCTGTATCCGCAAAAAAACTACATCGACTGATGCGGATAGAGGCGTCTGCGATATCCCTATTTCATACATGAACGAAGCTGTGCTTGATAAAGATGAAAAGCTAATCATCTATTGAGGCCTGGTGGAAACGAAACTTACTTATAAGCAAAGGCGAGTCTTTAGTGAAATCATCAGCTGCTAAAAACGGTATCCAGGAGGCAACTAGCAAAAGTGACGTGGACACGAGCAACACTGAACGTTTCATCTTTATTTATGACGGAAATTCGAAGATGTTAGTTTATAATAATACAAGTCTACTATATTGTAATATTATTGTTTTGTTATAAACTTTAAATGTACAAACTAATATACACATATGATGATTTAAAAATATGATGTTTTAATAACCGCTAATGATAATTATTTCATTTGTCGTTGCGATCATAGACTAGTATTTTTTTTAAATAGTTCAATGGACACTTATAAATTAATTACGTCCATGTATTAACAGTGATCTGTGAGAGGACTTCAAAAAGAAACTCACTACCGTGTTGGACTTTAATGAGAAAAAAGTTTCGAACATCTAAACTTCATTTTACGTGGCTCTCTCAAGTGTAACCGCTTTTATATTACGAATTTTAAAAATATATTGCCTTAGTAACTTTATTCTACGGGTACTTTTGAGTATCAAAGTATAACTAGATCTTTTTGTCACAGACTGTATGCGGTTTATGAACGTGTTTCGTAAATTAGATACAGGTGATTTTAAAATCAAACAAATATTTTTGTTTGATGAACTCGAAGGGGAGGGACGTAGTTGTAAAAACAAACATTGTTATTGAGATGCTGGTTTTCAGGATCCTAAATGCAACGCACCTAACAGAGTAGTTCTTACGAGGAATGCGCGAACAAAACCGCGGGTTAATCCTAAATTTATAAAGTAGGCAATTGTAGGTTACATAAAATCAAACATGCGACCAATGTAATTTCGTACCGTACGCTTAATAGGTAGTATTAGCCAAGTGAGGATCTTAGTTGTTGGTCGTCAAATGAATATTTATGATGTGTGAAAAATCGAAACAGCTTACTTGATTGAAACTGAAAAGGCATAATATTTTCTTGATAAACATTTTTTATGTATTTTTATTGTTGTTTAGACGATACTGCCTGTTGGATCGATGAATTAAGGTTAAGTTAAGATCGAAGAGTTTTTGGAGGAGATGCAAGATCGAACATTATGCGACTTGGAAGAAACCCATATTTCACGGTTGATGGTGGTAATGATAGGACACTGACCTCTTTTTGTAATTTTGTTGTTGAAAAATCGCTAGGCACGTGACGATGCTGAACTCCTTCATAGAAATGCGCCTTTTTGTTATAATCTTTTCTGGTTCTGGCCACTTATTTTTAAAATATTGAATCGTTCATGAATTTTGTTTTCCTTCACTATTCTTACATGTGTTTTATCTGTCGTTACTACCATCAAAATTATTGACGAGAGAACCTACATTTCGTTTCACATTTCACAGTTTCACGTTTCACATTTCACATTTCACATTTCACATTTCACATTTCACATTTCGCATTTCGCATTTCGCATTTCACATTTCACATTTCACATTTCACATTTCACATTTCACATTT